AGAGAGAGAGAGAGAGAGAGAAGAGAGAGAGAGAGAGAGAGAGAGAGAGAGAGAGAGAGAGAGAGAGAGAGAGAGAAAGAGAGAGGGGAGGGAGGGAGAGTGTGTGTGTGTGTGATCACGATGATGAAGATAAAGAACTCCAAAATCAAAGAGGTCGATGGCTTATCCAGTTGTAGTCAAACAAGACGATAGGTACAGTAGCGGCACACAGACACACACACCTCAGACATGCCCATCGCGGAAGCGATGATAGCGAACAGCTATGTTAGACATAGCAATTTGTGCTGGGATTACAGCATTCAACAGCTTGCAAGGCTGATGAATTGACCGCCACTATTTTTAGCCTGGTATCCACCACACAGCTGTTTGAAGTGACTTTCTTCTGGCCAGTGAATCCCTATTTTTCATTTTTCCATTTTTTCTACACACACACACACACACCACACCACATACTCCGGCATACACTGGCTGTTGGTAACCACCCAGGAGAATGAAAGAAAAGTCAGGAAGAGTCCGAGAAAGAGAAGAAAGACGTGTGCGACAATAATCGTCGGGAATTGAACCTGCAACCTCTCGATTGGAAATCGACTGCACATACCACTGCACCATATGGGACACACACACACACACACCATGTGCCATGTACCATGTATACGCACGTCGCAAGAGAAGCACGTAAATCTGCAAATGCACCCAAAGATTTTCTCTTATAGCAACGATAGCGAACAAGATCTGAATGAGACAGATCAAGACTTGCGCCAGATAACTGTCTAATCCACACAACTGGCGAAGCCATGTGAATCGACCACCAATGCACACCTGGTCTACACCACACGGAGTACATCGGCATAAAACGGCCAAGACAGTTACCTATGCACACCCTACACTTGCTGGGGTAACCAGTATAGACAGCACGCTGCTTTGATAGAAGCAGACACTAGATGCACTGGTACCTTGAAGTGAAATTGGAGTTACTTTGCCAACCAGCCTCAGCTACTGAGTACTGGGAACCCAGAGCCAACAGACATACCAACAACCTCAGCCATGAAAGCTATTATAGTAACGACACACTGGATTGTGGAGCCGAAACTAGTCCAACTTCCAAATGCTTTGGCAAGAAGGTAGCCATCCAACAGGTTGTAGGCGTGCGCGCGCGCGTGTGTGTGTGTGTGTGTGTGTACACACACACACACACACACACACACACGCGCGCGCGCGCGCGCGCGCGCACACACCTACCTTCACACGGACGGAGACGATGTGGCACCACCTTGCTGTTGGATGTCACCGAGCCCTGTGTGGCTGGAGCACTGTCCACATTCTGAAAACGCCACACAGTACGCAAGGAGAACAGAGCTAGAGGTGATCAGTGCATGAGCAGTGGGTTATCTGCACACATATCATGACTGTGACCAACATGTAGACACGCTATTCACAATAGAGTGGTGCTCACATCAGTTTGTCATGTGACTAAATTTGTGCAGAAAGTGATCTTGTCACATGTGAACAGAGGAACCAACATGGCCGACATCATGTGACCCATAGATGCAGGGTTTGAGTGGAGTGTTGGAATCAAACATGGCTGCTGCCCCTGTATGGTCATGTGACGGATGTGAAACCACTCTAGAGCCCAATGGCAATCGCCAATGTTTGGAGTGGCAAGCCAGTGCTAGTGACGTCACTCCCACCACAGCATTCATAACCTAGTCTGCAAGCTCAAAATTCAAAACTGTTTAGCTCTCCTTTTAGTCGATATCATGTACGTAGGCAAATTTGCCTGCTTGTTCTTCGGCTCTAAACAAACAAACAACAACAAGCTATAGTACAGATCGTACAGATAGAGATTATAAAAGACGTACTTGCATAGGGGAGGAAGAGGACAAACTGGGTCACAAGTTCTCCTCTGATGAGTTCCCGTTATCACAATGGAACTTGTCACGAGCAATAAGCAGATAAGCAGGATCACCAGGAAGAGCAGCAGCAGCAGCAGCAGCAGCACCAGCAGCAGAACACAAAAGAAAGGCCTAACCTTTATCAATTGAAATGGTCGGTAAAACGTCAGACAGGATCCGTAAGTTCGTACTCCTGCAGGGAAAGTGTCAAGGTGCAAGAAAAGCCGTTTCGGAGAAAGAAGTTTCAACAAAGCTATAAATTAAACAATAGATGCCGACAACGTGTGAGCAGGAATTCAGACGCGATGACCATCGAAGAAAAACGTTTCTGAATTCCTGCTCACATATTTTATTTCAATAGGTCATCATTAGTTCATCATGGTAATATGTCGGCATCAGTTGTTTTATTTTATAGCTTTACAAGAAAAGTGCTAGCTTTAGGCTACATAGAAACAGGCCGTGCAGCATCAGCCAGTAGTTACCCGTGTGTGTGTGTGTGTATGTATGTATGTGTGCGTGCGATCCCCAGTAGTCTAATCACTAGGGCACTGTCCCGGAAAGACAGGGGTGCTGGTTCGAATCCCGCTCGTGGATCCTTCTTTGGCAACACTGACGCCTGGCAATGGCTCGAACCCGCAACCCATCGTACCCCCCCCCCCCCCCCCCCCCCGTGCGAGTAGGTACAGCGTGAAGACAGAGCCTGCTGGGGCGGGGGAGCAGTGTAGCAAGAAGAAGCCACGGGTGTGTGTGTGTGTGTGATCCCTGGTAGCCTAATCGATAGGCCACTGTCCCGGTAAGACAGGGTTCGAATCTCACTCCTGGATCCTTCTTTCGCAACACCTGCACCCCCCCCCCCCCCCCCCCCACTCTCTCCCTCTCTCTCCGTTTCTCTGTGTCTGTCTCTGTCTCTCTCCCTCTCTCTGTTTCTCCTTGTCTCTCTCCCAGCCGCTCATACATACCTGTCAAGTCAGTTAGCACTAGTCCATGACAATGCGCATCCTTGTGGCTTTCAGATAGAGACACACCATCTGACAGAAGATGGTTGATATGCACACATGCACGCATATACACACACACACACGCACACACACACACACACACACGCACGTGGTTAATCGACGTCCAGAGCAAATCATAGACAGACGGTGCCCACACAAATGGTGTCCGAGAGTGGGCGCCGTCCGAGGAGTTCTACTTTATTTCATTCTATCTTCTCATGCAGTCCACTGCTGCTGCTTGGACACAGCAAACTCCTCAGATAGAATCAACTCACCTGACAGTAAGGCTTGAAAGTGTACTACAGTCCATTCAAAAAAAGATGAGCGCTGGCTCTGGAGAGCTCCCGTATTTGGCGATTTTGTGGTACACTGTGCAGTGCCGCGAGATTCGAAACTTGAAAAAGGGTCCAAAAACGGTACCTCAACTGGGGCTCCCGCAAATGTACTGTTATGCAAGTGGAGTGAACGGCCTGGATTTTCATGGTTTTTCCCCAATTCAGTGCTTTGGGGGCAAAACCTGGCCGAAATCCTATTCTTGTTATGGCTAGCTCTTTGGAGAAATAGACTTCAAAAACACAATTGGAAGAGCATTCCATGGGGATTGCCAAAAAAATTGTGACGAAACTCAAAATTTGACCCCTTTATGGCCAAACGCTAGGATAGTCAAGTGGTGTGCCTCACTGTCCGAAGAGTGCTCAATACCCATGTAGGGCAGAGACTTGTACACAAGAGAGAGATTGAAAGGTTTGTTACAACTCTGAGTTTCACGTATTACTACGTGAAACAAAGCTTCCAATCTTTCTCTTGTGCAAAAGCTAGGATATCATCTTTTTCTGAATGGACTGTAGTGAAACTGTAAATCGAAAACTTTCAAGGAGTCTGAAGTGTGTCCTTTTTCTGAGCATTATCGCATTCTTGTCTCCGAGCAAGCTGTTCACATAGAATCCTCCGACATAATAAGGTCTGGCTTAGACACAGCCAACTTGTCGGACTGCGGCGACTCCCCGGACATAACCAGGACCAGGACCTGGGACACACTGAGCCAGGTCCATGGATGATGTGAATGATGATGGTGCATGGTTGATGCCATCAAACGAACGCTTCACACTAGCTATGAGTAAACCTGCATACCGAGTGATCTGGAAATGGTTCCAGCCCGACACACGTATACTCACAAGTAAGGCGAAACAGAATCTTTATTGAAACTTAGCGTTTCACGCTTGCGCGATCATCAGGCAAAATCACTCTGGTATGAAACAGGGAATAGGGTATGGACCACTTCATCAGTTACATCTAGCTGGGCATAAACTCTTATAATCGTATTTGCAGGTTTCAATCCTAACAGGCGACACACTAGGGATTTGTGAAGTGTCACTCGCTACACAGGTAACTTACAAGTTTTCCACAAGTACCTAAATCTCCACTACATGTTTGTCATGAAACCCGCAATGTGGTCAAGAAAGCTCCTCAATACGCACAAGTGCCCCCCCCCCCCCTCCCCTCCCCTCCCTCTCCATTTTCTCCCTTGCATTGTACTGCTGTGGACATTCGAAATACGATGGAGTGACCGGGGGCAGGCATCCTTACTGCTTTGGGCCAGTACACACACACACACGCATTGTACAGTTGTGGCAAGTGAAATCCGACACTTGGCATAAGGGACTGCACCGTGCATCCTGCAGCCTCTGCAGCCCTGCATACGTACAGTACATGTGTTGCATACAACTTTATCTGTCTGATGACAGAATTCGTACTCATCACAGTCAAGGTTCAAAAGGTGCTGGCAAATATGAATGGGAATTGGATACCAATACTCCTGACGTGTACCATGTTTGTGAACTGTGTGTATCTAAGCTGTGACCTTTCGACCTGTTTGGGATGCATACGGCTCTATAGTACCAATTAGGTGCAGTGCATTACATCATTGATGTCCATTTGAGGCGCTGTCCCCTATGGCAAGTGTCGGATTTCACTTGCCACAACTGTAGTTCACGTACACACTGTAGTACACACACACACTGCACTTCACGTACACACATTGTAAAAAAAAATGGACCAGCAGTGCTCACGGCTGCAAGGCCAGCGGGGCCCTGCGCCCCGTGGCCGCTTGACTTCTCAACGGACTCCCATGCCCACAACAGTACAGTCATTAGCCTTGTCTGTACATGTAGAATGCAGAGACTTTGCCTGCACTCACCGGGACAACAGAAAGTACCCAGTGTTCCAATACTGCACTCACCAGGACAACAGAAAGTACCCAGTGTTCCAATGATATCCCAATCTATAGGCATGGCTGGCTTCTCCGTCGGCATCGCACGGACACTCTCGCAAGAGTCGGAGCGTATCCTGATCACGCGCAGTTGTGGCGAGAAAGCGACAGTGTGATACGCACGACGGCAAGGGGAAATAAACACACACACACACACACGCACAAGCGCGCGCGTACTCGTGCACACACGTACACAAACACATACAAACGTATGCAAGCAGGTGAGTACAAAATGAAGTACACGAGTTTGTGTGCGGCGTGGTATAATAACATTGAAAGAAAGGAATGAGCAGCAAATTGCTGCTCTTCCACCAATATATTCAAGCAGGAGCAATGCCAGTTGGATCAGATAATTCCCGTCTCAACCTGGATGCATACGGACACACAAACCCATTCCAAATACCCGTAACAAGTCACAGATATGGGCACAGAAACACCCAGAAACTTACACACACACGTGCGTAGAGACATACAGCCCCCCCCCCCCCCCCCCACACACACCTCCCCCCCCCCCCCCACACACACACATACCCCCCCCACACACACATGCACATCCCCCACCCCACACACACCTTAATAACACACATGCACACACACCCCCACCCACCCACACCAGGACATACATGTACATACCAGCACTGTCTCACAGGCGGCACAGCCGCAGCAGAGCAGCTATACAGATCACTGAACGGAGCGACGGCTTCCGCTTCCTCGCGATTACCGCTCCCACCATTAGTCCTTGCACTAGCCGCATCATCACCATTGCTGCTGGCCTCATTAGATGGTGCGTTGCCAGTTGTGCAAGCGGCTACATTTCCAGACACGGCAAACAACAGCTGCTCCTCGTACTTGCAGCTAGCAGGGCTTAAAAACTGAAAGTCGCCGCATTCCTGAACAAAACAACAGTGCCATGCCAAGAACCAGGAGCTCAGTGGTGAGGACAACAAGAACAACAACAACAACATCAACAAGAAAAAGCCATCATTAGCCTACAACCTTGCAGTCACTGCTGCATCAACTAAGCAGCAACTAAGAGTAGCTACTGGGGTGTCGGACAGCACTCTAGGCGCAGGGCTGACAAGAATGTGACGCGCAATAAGACCATTGGCGAACATGGAAGGTACGGGTAACGCATGTGAGTACGCTGGGATCAGGAATGCACTGTTCAACATCCCGCACGGCCATGCCCGGGTGGCCGTGCGGGGTGTTATGTGAGTACGCTGGGATCAGGAATGCACTGTTCAACATCCCGCACGACCATGCCCGGGTGGCCGTGCGGGGTGTTATGTGAGTACGCTGGGATCAGGAATGCACTGTTCAACATCCCACATGCCACACGGCCATGCCCAGGGGGCTGTGTGGGGTGTTTATAGTACAAATTACGTCATTGCGCAATCGGCTCACTCTTGCTCATATCTTCACACAGTTAGAAGCGTGAAGGGGTCTTTAAAATGTGAGAAAGTATCAAGACAGATCTGGACATTACCATGGTCTGTACCAGGGACAAGGAGCGCTACAGTCTATCCTGCATATACCATACAGTCCATCCTGCATATACCGTACAGTCTATCCTGCATATACCATACAGTCTATCCTGCATATACCATACAGTCTATCCTGCATATACCATACAGTCTATCCTGCATATACAGTGCGTATCGGTTATAGTGTGGTCGTTGTAAGCAGTATATTCTTGTATACGACCACACTATAACCGATACGCACTGTACATGTACTTGCATAGCTTTCTGCCTAGCGCCTGTGCCCATTGTGGCAAAATGCCCACACTTACGTCACACATGCCTCACTATCTATAATTACATCACATTTTAATAGGTACTCATTCCATTTCTGTTTTCCATGCTCAAACGAAACATAGAAGATTATGGCATTGCTGCTCAAGCTGCCAGGGTGCCTCTTTACCTTGTCCAATAGGCGCAGTGGCGTGGACTCATCCAGCCCGACGATGACTCCGATTTTCACCAGGCTATTTCTAAGGTGCGTGAAGTCCGGTGGCTTCATGGCTGGGCATTCCTGTCAAGAAACTTCTGCAATGCAACAGCTACTGATCAGAATGGTGGGGACGACACGTGAGTTCGAAGGATGGTGGAGGCGTTTCAGGCAAATCCTCGTCAGCAGCCAGCATATACTGGCTAGCAGTTTCGGGAAAGCAAAAACACGCCGGACCGGGTCACCGGATAACGATACCGGTACACTGAGTTGCTAGGAAAGATTCAGAATTTCCGGTTTGGCTGAGCCTGTTTTTAAACTAGAGCTGTAGCTCAGTGTGAGGAGTTTCAATGCTCACAACCAGTACCAGTACTTGTGCTCGGCAAAGACACACTCAACAAAAAGTCATTGGATCCATGGCGGCGATGAATATTCGAGCTTTTACAGGAGCGCAAGGCACCATCTAGATCTGAGTTTATCCGCGCATTCAGCTCCTTTCATGTCCAATAATTATTATTTTGTTGTTTATTTCGACTGTGAAAGGGATGGACACTCCGAAAAGGGCGAGGCTGGGCCATGGCATCGGGCAAGTCGTTTTTGTCAAAATTATTTTGAGGCCTCCGCTTTCGCGTACAGAGCAAAAGCTTTCTGAAGCACGGGGCCGCACCGTCAAGGCGTCATGGTGTGAGAGAGCACACGTGACCATGTCGACTTGACGTCATGACTTGTTGCTTTTAATTTTTGTGACGCCATGGCGCCATAAATCACCTCATTTTTTCGAGTCGCGAGTGATTTTATGTCAGACCGCGATGCACGTAAAAAATGTACCGGTGTCGCCACTTTGTACTTGTCAGTCAAACAAATGCAATGAATAATTATTATTTGAATGGGCTTCGCTTCGAAGTAAAATAAAACGATGGTACATTGTAGTTCCTTGAACTTGAAGAGTGAAGTGAATTGGGGTTCGCACTTCCTGTAGCATTCCGAATCGCCACTGCTTGCCTGCAACCATGTCCTCCCGGGACAGAAGTGGCGAGGTATGAAAGACCGAGCCAGGTGTGGATTTCTCACTTTCACTGCAGCTGACGCCAGCTTTTGACATGTGGTTAACTCTGTGCTGTATGTAGGCTGGTAATTTGCGCTTTCTCGATTTCAAACCAATCAACATTTCGGCGGTGAGTCCATTTCAGATTCACGCCCTGGCTAGCATGTCGATGACCTACTAGTACTGTGTGTTCACTGTTTCTGGTATGCTGCTACACATGGAGGAATTGTCTGTGGCTCTTTATAGATAGTGGTCGTTATTCGTTGCAGCATGACTGTCTATTCATGAAGTCTGTGAGCCCAGCAGTACCAGCACACGACTACATAATGATTATAGTACATGTACTCGCATCAGTGCCATCAGACTAGTAACATCACGGAAACAAGCCCAACAATACGGAGGTTTCGCTCTACGGAATTACGTATGAAAATAACGTATGAACTGCACGGAATTTTCATACGTAAAAATCAGAGCTGTTGGGTTTCGCTCTACGTGATTTTCTCCACGACTGCTAAACATGCGTTGTTGCTTTGGAGACGCGTTGGCTGCATGCGCCCACTGCATGCACCATGAACCGAAACCGCGTTTTCCATTATATTTTGCACGTGGTGTACGGTGTGTGTACCTTGTGTTTCGCGCGGCTTGAATGTTGCCATGGACAAATGCGGAAAATGCGAAAATTATTTCAAAAAGTCCTACGGAGGACCTAACGTAGGAAAGAGCTTTCCTACGGAAATCCGTAGAGAGATTTACGTATGAAAGTTGCCCTCGCTCCCCGGCGCGTACGACATACGGATTTTCATACTTAATTACGTCATATACGGCCAATGATGTCACTACTCATACCGAGCATAATCGGGAACAGTCATACTTAAAGGCGATTCACACGACTGGCACTCTCAGATTTGAGAGTCTGTTTCCATGGAAAATTTCCCGCGAACAGCCAGTTTTTCCCACAGGAATCCCAACATGCACGCGAGCTCTCTTCATGGGCAGGAACCGAAGCTCCTGAAAGTCACATGCAGCGCGGAGAGTGCAGGAGAACACGTGTGGCAACTGATTTTCACGTTTACACAGGGAATCCTAGGAAGGATTAACGGTAGCTTCTAGTAAATGCCACCCTGCGCGATGGAAATCCTCATTCCTCGTTGGGAAGTTGTTTTTTTCCTTGCAGTGGTCCCTTTAGAATCCGGCGCCATTTGTGCTACAGAACTTCTGCTGGATTAGGGAGGGTGCTGGATTAGGGAGGGTGCTGGATTAACAAATCTGATTTACTGCTGCAATGTGCATGAAGAGGACATTTCGGTTACTGAAAATGATGCTGGTTTATTGAGGGTGCTGGTTTTTCTATTGACCAGGGAATCTGTTCAGCTGATTACCTCTGCTTGGTGTGAGGTTCACTATGTTCATATGTCATGTGCTGTGGAGACATGCTGCCAAGTGTTTTAGTCTCGCTCAATGCTATTTCTGTGCTTTCCTCTCTCTGTTTGCGCGCAGATATGTATGCGGATTTCAGAAGTCATTTGTCGATCTGGTTAGTTGTTCTCCTGTGGGACAGTCACTCCTTAGTGCAACTGTATCTGATGCAGAAACCCCGCAATTCATATGGACACTACTGCCATAGGCAGAAGTAGTATACAAGATCTCTCTCTCTCTCTCTCTCTCTCTCTCTCTCTCTCTCTCTCTCTCTCTCTCTCTCTCTCTCTCTCTCTCTCTCTCTCTCTCTCTCTCTCTCTCTCTCTCGCCCTCTCTCTCTCTCTCTCTCTCTCGCCCTCTCTCTTCTCTCTCTCTCTCTCTCTCTCTCTCTCTCTCTCTCTCTCTCTCTCTCTCTCTCTCTCTCTCTCTC